TTGCTGATATCGCTAAATTGTACAGTAAACGCCTTGAGCAACTTGGAGTTGTCATAGAAGGAATGATTAATACAAAGCTTCTGAAAAATTGGATACTAGCTGCCATAGAAAATATGCAAGCACACATGAAAGGTAGCGTCGTTCTCCTGATTTTTAACGAATATATTGGGACGTTCTGAAACATGCCATGTCTTATAGTCGTAACAATAAAGAACTCATCATAGCAAAAGCAGCTAGAATAGTTCGAAAAGATATGCTTGATACTAATACTAGTTTTACAGGGACATTCAATGAAGGCTTTCAACATGAATCAGTTCCACAAACACCGAGACACGTGGCTCTCTATCTGAGGAGTGATAAGTTGTAGTTGTATCCTTTCGACGACGAATTGCACAATTGAACTGTTATAGCTACGAAATGGTTAGTTCTGTCTGCGATTCAACTATATTACTGGACTGTCTCGATGTTTGGCCCACCTAGAATCATTGTTACTAAGGAAACTAATGTCTGTTGAACTGATTCATGTTGACAGCTGTTATTGAATGTCCGTGTAAAGCTATTCTTAGTATCAAGCATATCTCTTCAAATTATTTTAACTGCTTTGGCTATGATGATGTCTTCTTTTTCACGCTTTTAGGATGTGGCCTGTTTCAGAGTTTACCAACACCGTCGTTCAAAATCAGGAGAACGAATCTACCTTGCTTGTGTGCTTGCAGATCTGCTATGGCAGCTACTAAGTAGTTTTCTAATTTTTTAGATAAGTTGTATCAATCCTTCCTTCCATGACAACTCCAAGTTGTTCAAGGCGTTTACTGTACAACTTAGCGTGATCGTCAAGCTTGAAGGTTGGCACAATTTCTGTTCCAGACCGTGTGCCCTCGATGTATTCTAATATTTCGGCAAGTACAATTCCATTGATAACAGATTCCTGGTTTTCTTTCTGTGTCTTTGGATTCTGCCTACTTGCCATGTTTTCAAGTTTTATCAACAATTAAGCATGAAACTTGGCCTCCTGGGATATTACATCTCCAGTACTTAGTTTAGCCAAAAGAACAGTGTCTTGTAGTGCAAGTGCACAGTCACGGATTCTTTTGTCGATCATATATACATGACGACGCATCGTGGAGATCGTCAGATACATCACCACTGAAAAAGTACACTGCAGTCAATGTTGTTGTTAATCCTGCACAACTTTACTGTGACTTGATATTTTACTGTTGTTTTTTTTTTCAATCGGCGACTTATCTTCAACTTCAGAAGTATGTTTTCTTTTTTCTGACGTAATATTTAAAAATCTGCAAATGTGTTTCGACAGGATTTGTGCCATTTTGGCTTGTGATTCTGGAGTGTTTCTGCAGTTCCATAGCCTTCAGTCAACTGTTCCAAATTGAGCGATGGGAGGAACCAATTCAATGCGCAACATCTTAGTATGCTAGCATCAAAGGACTGACTACCAGCTCAAATGTTTATGTCTGTTCTTTTTGTATATGCTTGGCATTGTAAATCCTCACGTGTACTCTCTTGGCGTTTCACACATTCTTTGCAGTCCATTTGTTCTTTAGGTCATTCAGCTCCAGTGTTTTCGATATCTACAATTTTGATCCTTTTCGACAAAGTGTGGTCATAAATCATATTATATATATACGTAATTTCTGTGGTAAAAAGTTACTTAGACAAACCTGTAAGTAAAAGAAATTTTGAATCAGATACCTCTATTCCGTTAACATGCGCCTACCTTCTTTGTCCACTTGGTGAATATCCAATATGAATAGCAACAGTCATATACCAATGATTTTGCTAAACTAGTTGTAAATGCATAAAAAGATTAGTATACATGCAAATAGCAAATTAATGAAAATAGCGAATAATGATATATTGGAAATTCTTGTTTTCGAAGTGGCCACCATTCAAGATGGCTACCAGTACTTCAATATATAAAGTCGTCAGATGATAGTCCTTGTCATTTGTGATGAATATATCATGTGTTATCAAAATTGATAGAACCATTTCTTTTTCATATTTTTTTAAAAACTTTTTTTGATCAATTTCCTAGCGGCCATTTAAAATGCCGCCAAATGCAGACCGGTTTTTGATTTTCTGAAATCTTTTTAATGTGTCCATAGCTATAAATGTTTGCTTTCACCCTTAACTTTAACTCTGCAAAGTTTTAGGTTATTACCATCATCTGAATAATTGTTTCACAAAACGACTTAACTATATGGGAACCCTTCTGGACATCGCTGCAGCAAGCGTATGAATCCTTCGCTAAATTAATAAAATGTGAATGTAAAAGGTTAAACGGTTGCAGAGGACGATGCAAATGTTTAAAGGCAGTATTAAGTTGTGCTACTTTGTGTAAATGTAGAAGACGATGTGATAGGATATAATAGACAGAGACAGCTGTTGTGTGGTTTGACAAGATGTACAACTCATTCATTGTGTGATATTTGTATCTTCAATTGAGAACATTTGAGCAGACGATTTCCTTATGACATTACTTGCATGATATGATACTCATTATGTCTGCCATGGAGGTTTTTGAAAGTTGTTTTAAGATAAACAATATCAACCAAATAATTTATTTTCATCGAATTATGAATTTAGAGATCTACCTATTTTGGCTTAACTTTGAATTTCAAGATTTTTCAAGATGGCCGCCATTCAATTTGGGTAACATTTTAATAAATTTTGTTCAACAAGGGAATTGGTATTAGCACTGTCACTCTTTTTACCTGGTTTCATGTCAATATCTTTACTAATATAATTTTCATGAACTTTTAAAGTATTTTATAGAATTCAAACGTACGCCATCTTAAAAATGGCCGCCTTTCCCGCCAATTTCGACTTTCAGAGTGGGTCCATAGCTGATAATGTTTTCCATGATCTATACTACTATTCTGCCAAATTTCATGCTTTTACCACAATCTGAGCAATTTTGCTAATAATCTGCACAAATCGACCGGACTAAATCTGGTGAAAACAGTTTAAAATATTCTGATATTGTAAGTTCATGCTTTGAAGTATTGTCTAAATTTGTCAAGACGTACTTGAAGTGTCGGAAGAAATGTAAACAAAAGAAGTGTTTCAACTGTAGTCAAATTAGTCATGTACGAGCAAAATGTCCTTATAAAGTGGTTAAAGCCAATGTTAATGCTGAAACGTCTGATGTTAGTGGTAGTATTGAAATGTTTTCAGAACCGGAAGTTTTAATCAGTGATGATTTCTTTGGACTGGCATACTAAAAACGGTTTACCTTGATGCATTTACTTAGGGTTTATGTGTATTTGTGTGTTGTAGGTGTTTTTGTAGTTGTTTGCATAAAAATATTGTTCTCTACTTTTGTGGCAACAGTTCAAAGACGTTCTGCATGTCTGAATAACTGGTTTGTACAAATTTTCTTTTTTTACTTGGTTTAAATGGTGGTAAATACTAGTTATAGCCTTGATCTGAAGGCAGGTGTCAGTGTAGTTTGTAGGATAGTTATTATAGTTTGAATGGGTTTATATTTTGGGTTTTTACTCAATTGTTTGGATTTGTAATCTCCATCTAGATATGTTGTATTTGGGGAGTTTATGATGGTCTGATTTTGTGGCTTTTGTTAGTCATGGCAGAAACTAATAGTTTGTACGAATAGTTTGAAGTTAGGAACACTTCTTGCTTTTATAGAACGTAGCACATAGATGGACCCGATCCATCTCAAGTTGCACACAGCTGTGTTACTTTAAAAACAACGTTGGAGTGCTGAACCCGATGGTACATGTCAAACGTACCGTCGTGAGATCTACAATGCTCACACAGAAGCATAAACAGCGACTTTCGACCGTTACAACATTTATATTCACCTAGATGTCCGCCAGATATTATCTATAATCTGAAACAACTCGGGGAATTATAGCAATGGAGATTTAAAGAGCGCGTCCGTACAGAAGTAGCAGTTCAACCCTTGATGTGATGTGTGTATCCGTGTGCTGTGTTGTGACATTTTATGTGAAACTGGACATTAATTATGTATTTTTGAATTGAACATTTCATGAACATTTATATGTACATGTGTAATTTGTTGTTTGTGTCAAATGTTATTTCATGAATATTTTTTCTTAAGGGGAGAGGAATGAAATAGGAATGGATTATTTCCCTTTTCATTACTTAATTATTTCAGGCTGTTATTTGATTTGCTTGATAAAATTTCATTTACATTTGATTTATTCTATTTAGTATTCATACATTGAGCAAGACTGACATTTGAGTTCCTTTATGTATTTGGCGTTTGCGATAATTTTGCAATGTTTACCATTTTGAAAGAAGTTATTTAAATGAAATAATAAAAATATTTGAATATGAACTAATTGCCTAAAGACGGGTTGCCTGTCTGAGTGCGATGCACATTAAAAGGAACTACAATAAGACGGTTTGTCTGTCTGAATATAAGCTCTATAGGCAAGCCTCGTGGCGTCATGATGGCTGAGTATATCTGGGTTTGCATAAATGTTTCCAAGGATTTCTGTCTATACGTTACTAAGATGTTTTGATGTGTTAAATGTTGAATCGAATATGTCTTTACTTTCTTTTTATTAAATTGTTATTTGTTTTGCTGCTTTGAGTATTATTTGAAGTGCCTTGAAATATACCCCATACACTGTATCCAGAACCATCCCCTCACAGTACATTATACTGACACTTTAAAGTTCAAAAATGTAGATCAGGTATATACATTAAAAATTTAGTAAATCATTGTATCATTTTGGGTCTATGTAAAAAGATTGCATACAAGAAAGGCAATGTACATTGTTTTGACCCTTAATTTCTTAAGTACCATCACTAATGAGTCTTACGCGCATCTTGCGTACACATTTTTATCCTGGTATCTATGACGAGTTTATTGTCACCTGACCCGATAGAACAACCAATCAAATCAACACAATGGACTTGCTCGTTTCTAACCACGAGAACAAGTAGTCCGGACTAATATAAACAAAAACATGATAAACAAGTGCTGCAAATTGAAATGCGTTAACTTTTTTTATTTAATATCGCCAAATAATGTCTCGAATATAACGAGAATTCAGCATAGTACGTAAACAGTTAATTGTAATTCAGTAACATATGACGATTATTTATCCTCTCTAACCTGAAAAAAAAAGACAAAGTGCAAATAAAGACATATGATAGTAAACGTGAATGTTTATAGTTTAAACTATGTAACTGTGCTAAATCTAGTTAGGGTTACAAGTCTCTCGGTCAATGTTCATCATAACTGCGACAGGTTTTGGGTGTACTCATAATCCCAATACAGTTTTCATGCTCTCAAACGTTAGTATAGTTAGGATTATCCAAACTTGTTCAATAGTGTACCGAATTATGGTTATTCTAGAAACAAGTTTATGATTTTGTATTATTATAAAATTATAATAGTTAAAATCTCAAATTTTATGATTCAACCGCCAAAGAGAGAAATACTGTATTTTTAGATACTAAGGAACACAATATACAATTTATACAACACGATGTTATGGTTTCGCAGATGTTGTGCATCTTGCAAACAAAACTAAAAACCAGACGTATATTTTGACAGTTCTGTATACAAGACTGAGAACATAATATTAATGTAAGCTACTGGACTATAGAAGTAAAAATATCATTGAACAACCCATCAGTAGTTGTAATTGATCAATATATAGTAGTTGATAGCCGAATATTGTGTTAAAAAATCATGATAGACAACCTACTGAATCAAAAGCATTAGATAAAAGTTTAGCTTACATCTTTTACATTCACAATGTCTGCGTTTACAATCACCACGGGCACAACCCGATCGTCTGCAACAGTCATTACAATTCCTGTCTGCTCTCACAGACTTGTTGTAATGCCTCGACATACAGCCTTTAACAATTCGTCTACATTGATTTCTGGTCATCATTACTGACTGTGCATTTACGGATATCATTCCTAAAGTATACAAGTATAATCCATTAGAAATGATTGCTAGAGATGAGTCTACCCCCTCTATTTTATCTCACTCGCCAAAGAGGCGTTTATCTTCGCCATCATGGAGTGAAAAGGGAATATACATCTTAAAGACTACCAATCCAAAGTGATGTTATAGACAGGTCTGGAATCCAAATGTTGGATGTCAAAATAATTGGATGAATTATGTTCATATAATAACACCATGTTTCAAAACGGTTCTGTAAATATGCTCTGTGGACAATACGCATGTGTATAGTGCTTTAAAGTGATGTTTTATTTCTTATAAAACGCAACATCAAAGACTCTCTCAATGCTCTCCATAACCAATTTAGAAGGACATCACGTGATCACGTGCCTTTGATGACGTGACAATCCACATTAAATAGGCTTAATATTTCTGTCTACTAACAATACACATGGACAACAGGGGCCATTTCAACAAAGCTGTCATAGGACGTGTTAAGTCCTAATTCAGGTTAACGGAACTCTCCTAAGATAAAATATGTCTTTAATTTTATCCTTAAGTTGGGATAGCTTGATGGGTGTCTTAAGATAGTCTTAGGGTAGCCCTAAAACTTAGGATGGCATACGGTAAAACGAAAAAAAAACGAGAATAAAGTTTATGTAGGTTTCTATGAGTTCAGCCGAGAGAGTTTTCGACAAATTCATTGCACGATTATAACCTCTAATAAATTGTCTACATCTAATTTCTTATTTTGAATTATTTTTGTAAATTATTTTATTATCAGCAGTTATATACTTATTTATTGTATTGGTATTCTTGTAATAGGTAATTTGTGTTACAATTGTAGTAACGTGCGACCTCCTTTTTTACAAATACAAACATGATTAACCCCGCTACATTCTGTATGTGCCTGTCCCAAGTCAGGAGCTTGTAGTTCAGTGGTTGTCGTTGGTTCATGTCTGTCATATTTGTTTTGTTTTTCGTAAATTGTTTTGTTAAAAAATAGGCAGTTTATAGTTTTCTCAATTGAATAGTTTCATATTTTTCATGTCGGGACCATACGGTATGGGTTTTTCTCATTATTGAAGGCCGTACGGTTGCCTATTATTGCTTACATCCACTTAATTTGAACTTTGATGGATAGATGTCTCATTGGCAATCATACCACATCTCCTTATTTGTATATTTAGAATATCAAACATTTATCAAATGTATATATATCAAATCATTGTCCAATGTTTTACCCTCTAATCTACGTCCAATGTTTCGTCGTGTATTAGCAAAACGACGTCCGATCTATCGGAGTCTCCTCTCGTCGATGTCTTATATCATTTAATCATTTATTTTTAGATCTTTGTTTATATTGTCTGTATCGTTTTGTATTTGTGTAAAACTGCATAACACAACTAATTCTTATCTTATATCTTTATCAAATTACAGTAAATGACAGTAAGACAAACACCGACATCATATTACATGTACATGAATATTAATATTTTGGTGAAAAAATTTCATCCTCTGGGGCAAGATTTTCGTGTTCCTTTCATATTCATAAAAAAAATGACATGTGAATATACGGCAATGAGACAACAACCCAACGACAAAGATACTCAGAAAGGCAGAGGGCAATATACAGTCTCAAACAATAGACAGAATAAGTACAGTCAATTGTTGAAAAATATTATTACAAGGACTCTGCAAGATTTTAAAATCTTCCATTTTTCAAAAACTTTTTTAATTTTAAGTTCAACCAACCATTAAATAAAGTTGTGGTATTATTGTAGCAGTCCGTAAAAAGGACGTCGATTAGAGAAGCCAAAAATTAGGCGTCGATTTGAGAACAACAAAATAGAAGTCGATTATAGGAGCATACACTTGGCAATCGATTTGGAATCTTTTTTATTATTACTCCAGATTTGGACGTCATTTTGGAGAACAGGCGTCTATTAGAGACAAGACGTCGATCTGAGTGCATAGAAATCAATCTAACAATGTAAGAGCAGATCTGATTCTTTTTCATCTAACTTCTATGGCAACGCCGCCTAGCATTGTGCTACCGACTTATCCCATCCTCCAACTAAAGCTAAAAGAGATCAGCTTTCGTCTCAGAAGATGTCCGTGAACATCTCGTTGGTTTATTAAACATGGTCAACTAATCACAATACACGAAGTAATTTTTTAAAGTAAAGGAATGACTAATCTTTTAATATATATTCAAACATAAGCATCAATTTCTTAAGAGTCCTTTTTTTTACATCCTAAGACATGTTTCACCAAAGTCTTAAGATTATCCTTAATCAAGTCCTATGATGTATCTTTGGACATATTTTAGGATACTTACAGAACTATATATAGCAAGTAAACCTACCAACAAGACACACAAACAGCAGGATTATTGCAAGTACACTCTTCATTGTTCTAATTCTGTAAATATAGTCCATATTACGCAGGTGATTTATATTTTATTACTTTCCTTTTCTGTGTGCTTTTAGTTTGATATGAATTAACTGAATAATACATTATAATTATTAAAATCAGGACGTAGGGTACTTTAATCTGAAGCAAGTTGAGTGAAAAAAAGTAACGATGTCCTAATCTACTGTGAAAAAATAAAATGATAAATATATTTCTTTTCATTCCCTTAGAATATCTTCTATATTTCAGCCCCCGCAAAATATCTTCCATCTTAAACTAGTTACCCCCCAAAATAGATTAGCCATCTGGGCATGTAATATTTTCTGTTTGATTCATAACAACACAAAACGAAAACATAGATGTTTTCATATAAATTAAAAATAATCCATCTTAATAGATACAAAGTTTGATGTCAAGTTTAGTATTACGTTTAAGAAAAAAAGTTGGACAACTCTATTATACTATCATATACTTAGTACTTACCTCTATAAGTCTCCTATAAGCCAGTTAAACGTGCCTGTTCGTCATGCCTCTGTCTTTATATACATGTTCTAGTTCTATGGTCAAAATGTTACATTTAATATAACCACAGATGCTTGTAATCCTTGGGCATTACAAACGTCTACTGGACAGATACACGACAAGACTATTTTGTGCATCAATCAAATAGTAAAAATGACCTATGTTTTGCAATTCAAATTCATTTTTCCTCTAAACCGTGTCTATTTTCATTTGCTTTCCGTCAAGCCTAATTTTTCAAATTTACCAGCCAGACAGGAAGCAAAACACATTAAAAAAATAACATATCCATAAGGCACCGACCATTCATTTCTAATTCATTTGGGGTGGGGTGGGTGGCATATTACTACTAAATCCTATGCATTTCCGAACATTTTGTGCCAATTTCATATAGTTATAACAAGTTTTATTTTCTCGGGAAGAAAACGGGACTTTGAGTGATTTAAGGTAGATGGGGTGTCTTAATGTTCGACGATAGATTTGTCTTTAACTTCTGTAAAAGACTTCTGGGTCAATGTACTTTAAAATTACAATATGAAAACTAGGGGTCATGAACCTTGTTTTTTCGTTAAAATACATTGAAATTAACGAAAACACAGTTATCTAAATCTTAATACACTCAACGGGGCTTAATTTTTTATAGTTTAATCTGGAAATTTCAAATATTATATGTTTTTGTTGTATATTGAAGGAAACTTGGTTAAATATTTTCAAACCAAAAAAGTATTTTTGTAACATGCTCAAAAGGGATGCTCAGAAAAAGACACCCGATCTACCCTTAAATGTTCTTACTCATTTGAATAATTAAAGGTAGAATAAATGTACAAAAAAAATATTGCGGTTGTAGTTTAAAATATTTACCATTCAATGGTAATATAGCCGCGAAAAGTTTATTCAGTGTAATGTAAATCAGGCCGTTAGTTTTCTTGTTTAAATTGTTTTACATTGGTCATTTTAGGGCCTTTTATAGCTTTCAATGCGGTGTCGGTTTTTTTTATTTTTAGGACGTAAGGTGACTTATAGTTGTTAACTTCTACGTCATTTGGTCTCTGGTGGAAAGTTATGGACAATTATACCACATCTTCTTATTTTATACAAATTTGCCTAAAAATTTAGAAAATGTACTCAGCGTTTGCCTTTAAAATGATCTTGAAACTTGAAATTTTTATTTTCCCAAAGACCACTACTGGAAAGTCTCAAAGGTCCCAACTGGACTTTGTGAATACAAACAAATGAAATACACAAAACAAAACATAACAGTAACTTCTCAGTAAATCAGGTTAGGACTCTTCATCTTTTGGAAAATTTGCTGCATTTTTTATGAATGTGTGCCATTTCATGTATGAAATGTATATAGAAAAAATAGTTTTTAAACATTAGATAAGTATCCCTTATTTGAAGGATAGTTACTCATTTGGGAAACTATTTCCCATTTGGTGAGTTGTCCCCAACCGGATAAATGTGTTTTGACGACACAGTATAGACTATATGCTGACGTTTGGTCTTTCTGACCTTTTAAAAGAAACACATATCTCCCGATGATGCCGATGTGGTCATTTCCTCACTGATAGGAGATTTTTCTTGTATCTACGGACAAGTAATTATAGTATACTGCACATTGATAGTAAACATACAGATTTTGGTGCCAACGATAACAATTTTGTACAAAAAGACAACACGTACGAAACATACAAAATAAATTACAATCGATGATTTTGAATAACATTTATATCCGTCAACCGAGTCCATGAGATTCTTATCACGTATAAAGCCAGTAAAAAATTTAATTGAGGTTGGTACACACGTAAGAAAAAAAATAGTTTTACACAGAAGTTGAACTGTATTGTTCACATCACATAAAAATCAATAACAGATAACAGTAAAATGAAAATGGCTAATAACAGTTAAGAGCAAAGGTATTCGATTTGTTTAACGTTTTAATCATCTTTACAAGTACATTGATTTATGATCATTTATGTTTAATAACAAAATCTCATAGAAATTGATCCAATGTTCACCCATTTAGGTGCGAATCATATCTCTGGCCTTACATTGATACTGTGCTATGAACGCTATATTTCGGGTTTTTTCGGAAATGTGTTTATTTCAGGGAAACTTCCATCAGTTTCATAGAGATTGATCCAATATCCACCTATTTAGTCGCGAATCATATCTCTGGTCTAACTTCATAGAAATTGATCCAATATTCACCCATTTAGGTGCGAATCATATCTCTGGCCTTACATTGATACTGTGCTATGTTCGCAATGTTTCGGTTTTTTTCGGAATTGTATTTATTCCAGGACACACCCTTTGTGGTCATGACAAAACAAGCATCCAATAGAAATGGTGAAACAGAATCATATTTAAGTATTTGACATAATACAAAGTCACATTCATAACACAATGAACAAATACCAGAGATAAATCTTAGAAACACTCCGAAAAAAAGTAAATGAAGTAATTTACAAAATGAAAGAAGAAAACTGTATTGATGAAATATCTTTCAAATACATTAAAAATGAACAATATTATGTAAAATCACCTTTTGCATACGTCCTCTTTAAAAATTCACAAACTGGACAGTGAAATTTTACCAAACATTGAAAACGAAAACAATCAAATAACAACTATAATTATTATACTTTATGTCAAAATGCCAGATTTTGATTGGTTAATACGAGGGAGACAATTTACTCTATTCTATGGTAAATACTCTATTACCCTTCACGGAGACGCTTGATCAAGTGTGCGCTTTATTAAATACGACTCTATCCTATGGCAAATACTCTATTACCCTTCACGGAGACGCTTGATCGAGTGTGCGCTTTATTAATTACGGATGGTTGTTATGTACAAGACGTAATAGTTTATTACTTTGAATTTTAAAATAATTAATTTAATCGACAGTAATAACAGAACATTCAGTATAATAAATTAAATAACACATATCTGAGAGGGTGACAGAGCAGATTGTTACCCTCGAAAAGACATTGTCAACCTTGGCTTCGCCTCAGTTGACAATGTTTTCTCGGGGTAACAATCTGCTCTATCACCATCTCAGCTATGTGTTATTTATATAATGTCCCGGGTAGACCAATAATATCACAGTGTAATGGACCACTTGAAAGAATAGGAAGATATTAAGATTATTTCTTACTTCGCTTAGAAAAAACACAAAAAACGCTAGATAAACATGAAGAAATTGAATATCCTATAAAAATACCTACCAATAAATTTCTGGTTGAAATAACGAAACTCTCATTCTTTCCAATAATGAACTTACCTTTCAAGGAAATTCTTATCGACAAATTATAGGAGCATCAATGGGAACAACAGCTTCCCCTGAAATATGTGACATTGCTATTTACAATCACATAAACTCAATCTTTGAAAACTCTCTAATTTCTGAAAAACATTGGTGGCCTTCGGCTGTTTGGTCGGGTTGTTGTCTCTTTGACATATTCCCCATTTCCATTCTCAATTTTATTTTCATAAAAGAATGAGATGACGGACAACTGGTTGTAAAAGCAAAATTGTCTGAAATTGTTTTCCCGTTTGAAAATATAAATAAACTACACGACCTGCTAAAATTCACTTATGAATGCAATAATCATTTCATAAAATTTCTAGACCTTGAAATCTTCAAAGGCGAACGCTTCAAAAATACTGGTGTTTTAAACCTGAAATGCTTTACAAAGAATACCATACAATTCCAATATCTTCATCAAAACTCAAACCATCCCATTTGAAACTTTAAATCATTAAAGGCGAAGGTATTCGTATACTTAGAAACACCAACACTGAAAGTGAATTTCAAACTAGAAAAAAAATCTTTTTTGAAAAACTATTAATTAGAGGATATAAACTAAAATTGGTAAAACAAATTCTATCAAAAATAAAATTCCAAGACAGACAAGATAAATTAAAGAAAAAGAACAAATTTGAAAATAGATGTAATGTATCATTCATTACAATTATCATCCTCATGCAGAAAAATTTCAAAAAGTATTCAGGAAATACTGGCATCTTATTAAAACAGATTCTACAATAGGTGCCAAATTCCATAAAAACTTATCAATAGGATTCAAAAGAAATAGAAACATTGGTGAATTAGTGAAACCAGCTATAAAATAATTTGTATAAACCTCACAGTTCCTACTAAATATTTAACTGTGCAGAACTAATAAATGACCATCATGTAAACAACTGATATTCTTATGACAAAACTTCCTTACCATGAAACACTTAATTCAACATTTATTGAAAAAGGTTGAAATAGTTTGAAAAACAAAAAATCAAAATCAAAATTACTAAAAAAATAAAATTAACAAATTATAACACACAATGAAAAAACTATTTAAAAACTAAAAAAATAAAACTGTAATACAAAATTAAAATATTAAGGTGGTACCCAACACCTTGACTAATATTAATTTGGCTCGTTTAATTTTCATAAGATTTTGACAAAATGTTTACTTTGATCCTTAAAGTTTGACAAAAATATAAAAATTTCAAAAAATTTGAACCAACCACTTTATCAGAAAAATTTCGTTGGTTATATAGCAGTTTGACAAACACTAATTTTGATCATTGAGAAGCTTAATATTTCCTTAACAATACAACGTAATTAAAACGTTTAGCTGATTTTTACAGAGTTATCTCCCTGTAGTGTTAGGTACCACCTTAAAACATTAATAAAAAATAGATAATGGAAAACAAAAACAAAAGGGGTGGTCTCTGATGAAGGTTTCCCTAGAATAAACACAATTCCGATAAAAACCCCGGAAACATTGCGTACATACATGTAGCACCGTATCAATGTAAGGCCAGAGATATGATTCGCACCTGAATGGGTGGATATTGGATCAATTTCTATGATATTACCAGTGGCAAGACCCCAATGTTCAATGATCTTCAATTTCTACAGAAGATTGGCTGTCAAAATGCTAACATTCCAATTTGCAATAACAGTTCACAGC